ATATGGTTTTCGTTTTATTCTTCAAGCTGATTTTGAAATACCATCGTCACGTCAAGACATTTGTCAGAATAATTTGTGGAACGATTGGCTTATTCAAAAACAAATGATTCATCTCTTACCAAAAGCATATGAAAAATTTCAACGATTACCTGAATTATTACAAGATACACCACTATCAAAATTTAATTCGATTCAAACTCTTAAATATTTTTTAAAATTAATTCCAAAAAAAGGTGAATATGACATATATTTTCATAGAATGATGGAACAATCAATAGAGATTCTTATGGGTATAATCAAATTTCCAGTGAAAAAAGATGATTCAATCGACTGGATGCCACCATCTAAATGTGTTTATATCAAAGATCAGTTCATACGAAAAATATTGACACAAGAAATGTTATCAAAATATTTTGATCGTTACTATTTGCATGATCAACTGATGGACATTGAAGAGTCAAAACTACTGAAATTTGGTGTGACAAAGTTAACGTTTGGAGAAATAATTAAATTTATTCAAATTTTATGCAAAGAACAAGAACATACAACCAAAAAATCGTTAGAACAAATATGTCAATGGTTATTGTGTTTAGGTAATACATTGAGGTGTCAGATGCATTGTAAAAAAAGTATCTTCAAAAACGACTAGATAATCGGAACCTCTCAAGGTGTCCAACTCTGTTTGAGCTCATACTTTACTGATCGATAGGGCATATGAGTGTAATAAAAAGATTTGGGTTGTTGCGACTTTCTTCCCGAGTTACAGTTGAGTTGGTAAAATTCGAGCTTGGGATATTTTTACTAATGCAGTATTCCAATGGTTTAAATAGGTGAAACTCACAACAATATTAAACTACCTAAACAAAGTTCACAGGCTGCAAAGATTTCCGACCTTAATCTTCTGTCCTTCATGAAAAATCGAATTTTCCATTTTTCATAGGGTATCCGCACTACCTTGCGAACTGCAGATTAAAAAAAATCTAATCGTATAATTCAGTGATGAGCATTACGCTCAGTATTATTTGTATAAAAACCGAACCATTTGACTATAACTAATGATAGTTTGTTGATAGACAGAGCACATCGCTAAACACAAACTTGTAGAACAAATGTTTGTGATCAAACTAAGATCTCGCACAGCTCTGTATGACCTTGCATCAAAAAGTTACAGGCATTCTCCTACAAATCCTAAAATTGAGTATTTTATACAGCATTTTCGTTATGTAAGAGTTATACCTGAAGTATTTCCCAAGATATTTAATAGCGATTTGTCGTAGAGAGTTTATTCTGTTTTGTTTAAAAGGGGAAAATAAACTATATGATCTGACCGGCGCCGATTTTTGAATTAGGTAGAAGAAAGGTTTTAGTTATTTTCTGGACGTTCTGAAAAACTAGTTTTCCAAGAGTCGTGGGAAAAACAGATGATAAGAAAGAGATAACAAGCGTCCTGTAACTTTTTGATGCAAGGTCATACAGAGTTGTGCGAGATCTTATTTTTGATCAGAAACGTTTGCTCT